CTTAAATATAGGTAACATCAAGGAATACTTTCGTTTCATTCGCTTTTTTACTAATATGGCAGTAACTTAAAGATGTAACGCAAATATAATTTGAATATATAATGTTTAATTATTATTATTTGAAATGCAAATTATAAAGTTGCATAGCAACTAATTAATTAAAAATTGGGATATAGAATATAAAAATTACTTTTAGCTTAACTTTCAAAGAAAGTTCATCCGATACCGATTTGAAATTTCTTCTCACATATACAAATATATGCACACATTTTGGATAATATCATTCATCCAATATGGATGAAATTTCAAAGAAGAATCGATGGAAAAATATTAGTAATGTTATTAGTAATATTAGTAATGTTAGTAATGTTCTCAACTCTTTTTTATATTAAAAATATTTCTAATATGAAATACAAAAATCAAACAATATAATTATAATATCCACAAGGAGATATTAATAATATAAATAAATTTTATCTTTTTCGGAAATTTAACTTATTTATATCTATTAAACATTAATACAATATTACTATTCGTCCTTATTAATCCTTCTTAATAAAACTATTTTGTTTATCGAAATTCTAATCGGAGCAAAGAATAAGCATAGAATAAGCTTTCAAAAGAAGTAGTAACTCTTACGGAAAGAAATAGAATTGTATTGATGATAAAATGCAAGGCAAGATAATATTATTTTGAAAAATAATGACTTTCAGATTTCTATTTCGAATTTTGAAACTGAATGTGATGAATATGAAGGAGACAAAAATCTTTTGTAATTGCATATAATCATAATTACAAAAAACTATCGCCAGCTTTCTCCTTACGTGTATTAGCTATTTACTTAGAAAAAAAATTAGTTATATTTCAATGTTAATTATTATGACAGAGTAGAGAAAATTGATACGACTTTCATCATTTTTATTTTTTTAAATATAACATTATTCTTTAAATATAACATATACTTTTTAATTATCGCTACTATAAATAAATTTCTTTTAAATTCTACTATTATAAATTAAGTTTCTTTTAATTAATTTAATGTATTCCATCAATTCATATTAAAGCAACAGAATATGATTCGTGAGCATGATCAAATAAATATACAATAATGAATGCATATAAAACGGTCTCGCTTTTCCGCGTGGATAATGATCAGTCGATTACCAGGAAAGCGAGGACGTTGGAGACAGAATTTTGGTGTAGAGATTCGAGTTAGATTATATTATAACAGTAGTTTATTGAAATAAAGAAAGAAATAACAAGGTGTAGAACGTGAATAGAATTGGCCGGGAACGGGCGAGACGGGTGATCGGCGTGTGTTTATAGTTTTTGACACGGATGAGGTATCGCTCCGGCGGTCGACGCGATACTGATATCGCTACGTGTAACTCGTCGACGCGGGGCGCGCGCGGCGGGAGCGGTGTCGCACGTGTTGTCGCGGACCTTTAATCTTCGGGCGATTTAAATCGCGTATACGTGCATGAGCGCGAGCATTTTCTTCGTCGCGAGGGTGGAATTTCCGCGAGAGGATTTAAGAGTCGGGGATGCCCGTTCCCTGCCGAGTGTACTCGGCTGACGGGGCGGGGAGAGAGGGGGGGTGTGCCCCTCGTCTGTATAAAGAATGCCGAGTGAACTCGGCCAGCCGAGGGGAGCCCCAGCTGTGGCGGAGGTGTGATCGGTGTCTTTGCCGAGTGTGTCGGCCGACTGGGATGTATCCCGGTGCTTGGAATCGGTCGGACGGGAGTGCGGTGGTATCGGGGACACCCGATATACGGCGACGGAGTCGGACTCGATGAGCTGGGGAACCCC